ACCAGCCATCTCTGTTTTCACACAAATGAAAAGGGCGGATTCTAGAAACTCCCAACCTGCACTGCACTCCTGCAGACTTCTCGACAGCGGGGCTCTAGTGCATTCAGAGAGCAAGCGGTGGACACTGGAAGCCAGCATAGGCTCACCAAGAATAAGCCATGCACAGTGAAGTGCACCTCCCTCTCCAAAGGCGCTGCAAAGCCTTGAACTTGGGTGGAATGCAACAAATCTAGATTTAGTGAGGCAGATGAACACATGGATTTAAAGATAGCCATGTAGACAAGACAGCGAAAAGTACGGTAGAGCTGGGATGAATTTGGGTCCATTAAAGGCAGATACACCCACAAGAAGTATTGATCATCATCAACCTGGTCTGAAGTCTCCACCATTGTGCCAAAGGCCTGGCCTTGTCAGTTTTTAATCAACATCAGCCTGAGGACAGAGATGGCTGACCAGTCTAATCTGCAAAGGATGGAAAACTGGTGACAAGGCTGCAGTGGGAAGACGGCTAATACTTCGCAATGGCAGTTCAGGACTCAGAATCATCTGTATTGGAAAACTGGACCCAGATGAACACGTTAAGTGCCACGTCAGTCACGGGTGACTGACACTATACAATTTTAAAAATTATATTCTATTAGGAAAACTAATTTCACTTGAATCGCTTTCACTCGTTTCTTCTACTGGCATTGTCGCTGTTACGGGTAAAGAAAAAATTTTTAAACTGCACTGGAACACGAACCACAGACAACTGGCTGAAATGAAAGCATATCGGTGAAATCGGATATTGCTGCTAAATGGAAAGGAAGACAAAACAGGCTTGGCGCTTAATGTGTTAACAAGATATGACCATCTTAAAATTTCCATGTCTTACACTTTGGGTTAGAGGACACCAGTGTAGGGTCAAAAGGAAAAGTTCTTGGGTTTCAGCTGACCACAAACCAACAAATACTAGGGTGGCTGCCAAAAGAAAAGTAAATACAATCTCACGCTGCGTCAACATTTTACCTGTTCAGTGCTGGGAGGTAAGGAACCCATTGTTCTCTCAAGGTCAGGCCACACAGGGGGCACTGTTCCATTCTGGGTGACTTCACATAATACAGTCACCGACGGGTCGAGGTCCAACAGGGAACAGGGGTGGCTTTTTTGGATAACAAGCTACCTCTCTTGGAACGGACTGCCCTTGGCACTAGTCCATTTCCAATAATGGAAAGTATTTAGACCAAGGGTGACCAGTATACATCAGAGATGTTTGAAGGTGTGGCTGGAACAGGAGTTTTCAACTGGGGGTGGTGGCATTGCTGCCAGGCAGGGGTGTGTGTGTGTGTGTGTGTGTGTGTGTGTGTGTGTGTGTGTGTGTGGACATTGTGCGTGCCAGGCACTCACTGTTCAGGCTCCACAGATAGAGCAGTAAAGGAGCAAAATCCCTGTCCCTCCCCCAATCCATTCTAGTGGCAGGTGGAAGCACTGCTGGCATTGAGTGGGCAGGGGCCAGAGAGGCCAAATGCCACGCAATTCACAGGACAGCCCCATCCACTGTGCCAACACTGCTCCCACTGAGAAACCCTGGCTTGCCAAAGGCAACCTGAGACTTGACAATCATTGAGCAAGTGCTAAGAAGACATCAAACATAAGAGCTGGCAAAACGGGTTAACTGAAGGAGCATAGTTGTGAGCTTGGAGGTAGAACAGCTGGGCTTCCTGTCCCTCACCCTGTGGCAGGGCACCCTCTGGGGTACAGCCTCAGCCTGTGGTCCTGGGTTATCAGGGAGCCACAGACCCATGAGCTTTACCCATAACCTCTATTATCTCTGGTGGTCACCCAGAGGGGGGCAGGCAAAGAAAAAGGGCATTCTGAAGGGC